GTGAAGGTCCTGAGATGGGGAGGTGTCTGTGAGGAACAGCCAGGAGGCCACTGTGCCAGCTGGGGGAGGGAGAAGAAGGTCCGAGATATCAGGTCAGAGAGGAAACAGGTGGTTGTGTGGGGCCTTACAAGAAAGACATGATAAGGACTTTGGTTTTCACTCAGAGGAAGAAGAGACGCCACCAGGGAGCTGGGGCAGAGAAGTGACAAAATGTTATGTGACCCATTTTTATTGAGTGCTTACTCCATTAGATTCTATTTTAAATTCTTCACTTGTAATTCTCACAGAACCTTATGAGCTAGGACACACTGTCTTCCCCATTTTATAGCTGAGGAAACAGAGGCACCCAAAAGTTAAATAACTTGCCTGAGGTCACACCATTAGTAGGGACTTGGCCAAAATGTAGACCCAGTTGAACTCTTAACTACTTTGTTGTCCTGACTCCCCAGATGCTTAAGAGAGTGAGACCAAGTTCTTTTTTTTTTTTCTTGATGTCTATATTTCCAGAGTACACTTATAATAAATTTACTCCGTACCCATTCATGAATACAGAACTTTCCAATTAAACTGTTAAATATTCCCAGTATTTTTCTTTTTTTAGTTTATTTTGTTCATTAGATTCCACTTGTAAGTGAAATCATATGGTATTGATCTTTTCTCTGACTGACTTATTTCACTTAGCATAATACTCTCTACCTAGTATTTTACTTTGATTTTAAGTGTTCTTTTAAGGCTTAAAAGAGACACGTTGACATGTCTCTCTTTAATTATGCAGACAGCTTTTTTTTTTCAAATGTAGAAGTTGATTGGAAAAAATTTTATTTTATTACCTTAATGCTACCTAAATATCTATTATATGATTTGGCATCTATAATTTATCATTTTCCTCTGCTATTAGATGAAATGCCCTTTAAAGCATTCCACAGCAAGGTGAATACAAGTCAAGCTTGCAAAGTTCTAGAAAAAAGAATTGCAGAGTCATTAAAGAATAATGAAAGTTGATTTATGTAGCATACAACATAGGGGCTGCCCAGTTGAACAAATATGATTGTTCCAAGTCATTTTTAGACGTCATCTAAATTTCAGCACCTAAATTTCATCATCTTTTAAAGAATAACAGTAGTAATACCTTATTTATGTAAAGATTCTAAAAGCAACATTTTTTAATTCGTTTCTCTTGAATTCACAAAAGCAGAGGCTGAAACAACAGACATTTTAAAATGTAGGAAACCCAGATTCCTTTTACTGTGGTGCAGCTTTAACATTCTACTGCTGTAGCCAAGAGTCCTGGCTTCTGGGGCCCATCGCCTTGCGCATGCTGATTTTCCAGAGTCTCTCAGGAGTTAGTGCTTTTGAGCAGTATCTACCGTGACTTCAGTCCCTGCAGGAAGTGGGGGTAGCAGAGTTCGGGAATGAAAACATTGAGGGAAAACAAATCTCTCCCAGTAGAACCATTAACTCATTCTAATTTTAGATTTCAGGCAGACCACTTAACTATACCTTTAGCTACCTGCAAACATATACCTCTCAGGTGCTCATCGTTAAAGGGATACAACCAGGATATAATAAAGGTTTCTGTCCTAATATTTTTCAGTAAAATAGGTGATGTGTAAGAATGTGTGTGTGTGTGTGTGTGTGTGTGTGTGTGTACACATGTATGCAAACCATGTGCATGTATACAAGTATTCATGGCATTCGGAATAAGGGAGATGTTCCAAAAGCATTTCTTTCTATTTTTCATAAACTCTAATTTCCCTTCCAAGTCCTCATTACCAAAAGGATTAATAGTTCTGGGCTCAAGACCTCAGAAACCAAAGTACTGTGTTTTGTGAAACAGGAATGAGACATTTTTTGTAATAAATTTCATGTGGTAGTTATTTTGGTGAAAAAGGCTACAAGTCAATTCAATTCCCTTCTACCACGAGTGTCCAGGTGTGTTTAGCATTATGCTTGGCACTGTGCAGGGAGCTGAAAAGGCAGAGCACATGGCCCTTGACTCGAAACAACCAAATGAAATCTAACAAAGGTCTTTTGAGAGGAAATGGTTGAAAGGACATGTCTCATGGCCAGGAAAACCACAGCAAAGTATTCCAATTAGAAATAAATTTGAGAGTGCTACACTTTTCCGGAAGGGTCAGGGAGTCAGACTCTTGGCCTTAAGCTGCCTCTCACCTCTACCCTGCTGACACTGAGAACCAGTCACTCCCGGCTCTGTGTGAACTCAGCTGTTGCTGCCAAGTCTTGCCATTCCTCTGCAGAGAAGCGCCAGGGGTTTTCACCAGAGGCTGCCAGCCAGCTTCAGAGTGAGAAGGAGGTTGCCGAGGTGCCAGGGGGCTCTCTACACTGCCCCAGTGCCAGCTTTCTGTCTACAACGAAAAGTTCACTACATTCACTGAAGCCAAGTCTGACATATTTTAAAGTCTCCAAAAGAAGTTTCGTAAGCTGTTTTGCTACTAGAAGATAAGCTCTCATTTCCCAGGTTATATTTTCTATTTTCCTTAAGTTCAGCACCACTATTAATCCATGACACTCTTGGGTGTATAAGAAAAACAATTCTGCTGTCTTCATAATCAGTTTAAAGTTTATAACTGTGACGTCTTCGTACTTCACGTTGTGATTAATTGCCTTATACTAACATCTGATTAATTTTTTATATGTTCTTTAGATAACTTGTGTAGTTGACATGTGTGGTTATTTGGGAAACGGGCTATGAAGTCAATGCCCCAAACAGCTGAATTTGATGATGTCATGCACTGTTGGCCTCTTTAATAGAACTTGGCTCTTTCAATAGCATCTAAAACCTACCTGTCCTTCAAAGTTTAGCTCAGTTCTTGCTTCCTGCCCAAAGCGTTGCTTGACAATTTAAGTTCTCACTGAGATCTTTGCTCTGGGACCATCTAAACCCCGGTTTTCTGTGCAGCTGTTACGGTGTTTAGATATATCATCATATACCTTCATTTATTCACTGGCTGTTTTCAAGTGAAGGGCCACGTGCTCAGTCTGTTCAGCTCCCTGCACAGTGCCTACCATAGTGTTGAGCACGTTGGGACGCTCTACGGTAGAAGTGAATTGAATTGACTTGTAACCTTTTTCATCATTTCCCCTATTATCATATATTGAGCTAGAGTTTTCATTATTGCCTTTTATTTCTTGCTTCACTATCTGTTCTTTTTTTTTTTATCCTCACCCGAGGACATTTTTCCATCTTTTGTACAGATAGAGTGGGAGGGAGAGAGAGGAAGAGAGAGAGAGAGAAACATCGATGTGAAAGGGACACATCAAGTGGCTGCCACCCGCACGACCAACCAGGGCCGGGGACAAACTGCAACCGAAGTACGTGCCCTTAGCGGGAACCGAACCCGGGTCTCTCCGGACCGCAGGCCGATGCTCTAACCGCTAAGCCAAACCAGCCAGGACCACTATCTGTTCTTTAGTGACTCAGAAGTATCCAGAGTGAGCTGCAAGTTGGACTGCTCCTGGAATAGGTTTGTCACTTCTGTTTTTTGGCTTAGACATCACTATTCTGCAACTCCCAAAGAAAATGGGAGACTAATTATATTCCATATGATTGTAGTCATTGGGGAGTTACCAATGAGTATAAAGAGAAAAGATAAGTTAATGCAACAGAGGAAGAAGAAGTATAAGAAGGGGAGAAAGAAAAGAGATGGTGAAGAGGCAAAAACCAAAACCCACATCCAAACCCAAACCCCAGCAATCCAGCTGTCTGATGTCAATGTTTCCTTTTTAAACGACAAAACATAAAGACTCATTGCAAGTGCATTTCATGGACAATCCTTGCACATCTTAAGAATGCTTGCTCTTTTAGGAGTTGTATGCAGAAACAACCATCTTTCCAGTTTGAATTAGGAATACACGGGAAAGGCAGTTACTTTGGAGGAAAGTAAAAGCCTAGCAACACTGGCACATTGTATGGGGCAGTAAGAAATGACAACTCAGAATGAGGTAGACTCCTCTCTTCCGTGATCAGCTTGCTCTTCCCTCAATGAGTTTATGAGATTTTGCATTTTATGGGCTGAGCTTCCCACTGGCAGCAACTGAAGCCGTTCATTATGCACATCTGTCACATGACCCACTTCATCAACCAAATGGAACTGGGAGAATAAGCCACCCTAACAGGATCCTTCAGTACACTCTTAAAAACTACTTACAGATGTACTCTTCCTCTGAAGGGGTACAATGAGTTTCCTTGTACTGTGCCACATCATACAGGAAATGCATTATCCCCAGCCAAATTCAGGACTACCAGGAGGAAGCACATGAAAAGAAAGCAGCTCACAAAAGCACACACAGCTTTTGCAGAAATCCTGAGAGGGGCTCATCCACCAATGTATGATAAGGGCAGATAAAATCCCAGGCCTCTGAAGCTCAGTTCATTACAAATGCTAATGTCCACACAGGGAAAGGAAACCCATCAGCATTCAGCATCCACACAAACACCGCTCATGCTTTTTATTTACGGTTGTCACTAAATCCCCTCAGCGGTGTGCCAGCTCTGTTTGTGTTGTAACTTCAGCTACTTGATGTGCTTTCATGCCTAGCTCGGCTATGTACCCATAGGCGATTTGTGCTTTCACACTGTCTAGTGAGATAAGCAGCACACTTCTGATCTTGAATCAGGAATCATTTGGTTCACATTCAGATCAGGTAGAAGGAACGTAGGTGAGTCCAGGATTAGATTCACCTGCCATTGTCAAGGCTTTCTATTTCAGTTGGTGTGATCAACTTATTCAGTCAGCCAACAAATATTTCTTGAATACCTACCACATGCCAGGCATTGTTTTAGGCACTGGTGATTAACAGTGAATAGACAGAGTCTTACCTACTATCATAGAATTACATTCTAGATGGGAACAGAGACAGTAAACAAGTATATAATATGTCAGTCAGGGTAGGCTGGGTTATTTGTAGTGATAAACAACCCAATATCTCAATGGCTTAAGACAACAAAGTTTGTTTCTCATACTTCATGTTCATTGCAGGTCAGCTGGGGGTTGTGCTCTGTGCAGCTTTACCCTGGGACCCTGACCCTCTGGAGTATGGCTGATCTCCGTGGCAGAGGGAGAAGACAGAGCGGTGAATTGCACACTGGCTCTTAAAGCTTATGCCTGACAGTGACACAGCACAATGCAAGTCACGTGGCTGCACCCAGTGTCAGAAGGTGAGGACGTGCACTCATACCATGTGCTTGGGAAAGCTGGACACACTTGGTGGGCAGAACTGTCCCAGATGATGACAACTGCTATGAAGAAAGAAGCCAGGTAAAGGAGATGGTGTCTGAGTAGGCAGTTTCTACCTGACATTGATGGTCAGGTGTGGTCTCTCTGGTAAGGTGATATTTGAGAAGAGATTTCAGGGGTGAGAGAGAGGGCCTTTGGATGGGGCAGGGCAACTTTCTGCAGTGGATAGAGCAAGGGCGAAATGTGCCTGACATGCTTGAGGAACAACAAGGAAGTGGAGTGAGCAAGGGGAAAGCTGTAGAAGATGAGGTCAGAGAGATTACAGAGTTCTGGAACACAAGGTAGCTCCTTATATTAAGGGCTATGGCCATTGCAGGTTTTTGTGTAAAGACATTGTCTGAGTTAGATCTTCAAAGATCTCTGTGGGTGCTGTGTGGGAAATAAACTATGCAGCCAAGGGTTGAAGCAGGGAGTAGTTAGGAGGTTCTTTCAACAATTGAAGTGAGGTGAGAGAGGGGGCAGTGGTCAGATTCTGGATATAGTTTGAGGGTGGAACCAACAGTTTTCACCAGTGTATAGATATAAGAAAAAGAGGATTCAAGGATGACTTCTAAATGTATGTTTATTCTAGTAATCCCTGGCTATGTCTAAGGATTACATTGTGTGATGTTTGAGAATCTTCAAATCTGGCAATATCATAGCAATAACCTCCCCATAAATGAGTACAGAGTTGGTTAGCCAAGTGGAAATGTGGATGCTGGGCAGTCAGCTTGACTCATGCACCAGCTAAGGGACTTCTGTCCCCACATTGGCCTCGTGTCTGGTCTCTCTTAGGATTTATGATCCAAGTTAATTTATATCACCAGAGAAATGAGCTTCATAATTACAAGCAAAATAGGAGCTATGACTGAGTCATCCCAACCTCATCCCACCCCTCCATTCATTCGTGAACCTCAGATGTCACTCCCAGGAAACCCAGCAGTTACAGCATGAAGTCTGTCCTCAGTGGGTACAAGGATAGTGATGTCTCGCCTCCAATTCACCTGGAAATTGGTTGAATAGAAATCTTAATAAATACACTAAAACAACGTTGTGGTGTTCTTCTAAATAGTGTGTCCCCCTTCCTGCTTACCCTCCCTTTCTGTAACATTGTTCTCCCCATCACCACTACCTAGGACATGGCAACTAGAACCCCCCACTACACCTGGGCCTTCCCTTAAGTCCCCTCCATAGTAGAGCATAGGTTGAATGAAAATTTTGCCAACTACCATAAGGTAAGGAATAAATAAAGGTCAATGCTGCTGTTAAAAACTATATTTTGGGAGTATTTGTACTCAGAAGTGTTCCTTCGTTCAACAAATCTTTGTAAACCCCTAGCATGTGTCAGATACTCTTTAAGCACTGGAGACCCAGCCATGAAGAGAATATATAAGTAATTCATATTGTTGAAAACTGGGAAAGCACAGAAAAATATTAGGAGAAGATAAAATTTCCGCTAACTCACCACTGAAACATAACTGCTGGTAGCATTTTGTTACTCAGTCTTTTTCTAAGCATATATATTCTTCCTTCCTCATTTTTGAATATAATTTACACCTTTGGAGTTACGCTACGCATTTTTTTTTCTCTAAAATTTTTTTCTTATAAAAATAAATCACAGCAGGTGCTCAGTAATATTTGTTGAATGAATGAAAGAATTAATTATAGAAACTTAATAAATTATGGAGAAGCAAAAATTTTTAAATGAAAATCAGCAATAATATCACTCCTAAGAGATAACACCACTATTAATAGTTTGGATTGTTCAATGGGGTTTTGCATAATCAGAATATTTTTACAACATTGCTCTGCATCAAATGGTTTACTTTTTAAATGACAATGTTCTCTTTTCCCCCCTAATTTCAAAAGCAATGTGCCACGGTGGATATTTTGGAAAATACTGAAAACTGCAGAAGAGAAACTAAAAGTTATTTATAGTCCCACTGCCCAGAGACTACTGCTATTAACATTTTTTCCACTCCTTTCTCTGAGCAGTACAAGAAGTTAGTTAAGAACCTGGCAAGTTACTTAGGCTCTCTGAGCCTCAGGTTCCTCATCTGTATAATGAAACTACTAATACTTACTCTGTAAGCCTGGTGTGAGGTTTAAAGGAGATGAAGTGTACAAACTGTGTAGTCCAGATCTGACACATCGTAAGTGCTCAATATTTTTATGTAGCTGGTCATTCATACGTTATACATAAATTTTTATCTTTTTGAAAATGTAACATTATATCATAATATTTTAAATTACGAGACAGTCTCAAATTTTGAGAAAAGTTGTGAGTAAAGTACCAAGACCCTTTCTCCCCTAAACCATTGAAAGGAAGTTGCCAATCTCATTCCCCCAGTCACTCCTGAATATCTTAGCGAGCATTTCCTCAGAGATATTCTCCTACATAACTCCAGCCGGAACAGCAAAATTAGGACGTTAACATTGATACATTGGGATCTAACCCTCAGATTGCAGTCAAGTTTCTCCAGGGCCCAATAATCCACTTTGTAGCAAAATGATTCCAGTTGAAAGCCACACCCTGCAATTATTCCTCATGTCTCCTGAGTCTCCTTCATTCCGAGCAGTTCCTTTGTCTTTCCTTGACTTTCAGGGCAGTCATTATGTAGAATGCCCCTCAATTTGTGTTTGTTTTATGTTTTTGCATGATGGAGTTATATGCCTGTTAGATGCTCTGTTATTAGGTAGCACGCCTGCTTTGGCTATAGCAACTTGCGCTGGACCACGTTTTTACACAGACACTTCCCTCACCCCAGGTGGGGCTCTGAAACCCTTTGCCAGTTCACCTCTCTACCGGGGCACCCTCTTCAGCCTCCTGCATTCCAACACCTCACACTATGCTATTTTTTTTTTTTTTGCAAGAATACTCGCCTTACCCCATGTGGGCTCGGAAACCCCATGCTAGGCTGCCCCCATCCTCAGTCCACTTGGGATTCGACACTCTGCACGAAACCATCCTCTCAGCCCCCCTGTGGTTCTGACACTGAGCCAAGCGGATGCTCTGCAGGGATGTCCCTCCCATCCATCCTGCGTGGGTCTGACACCCCAACAGGCCTCCCTCACATGGATGCCCTTCTCATCCCGCTTTTCTGGTGTTCTAATTCTTTAAAGATTTGGGTATAATACAAACTAGAGAAGTCTGTGTATATATTATTGATAGTCTATTAGTTATAATGTGTTTCCATTTCAACAATGATCTAAAAAGAATCATAAAATGTAAGTTTATCTGACTTAGTAGAGTGTTCATAATATAACCACATACTCCTATCATCAGTGCCTGTGTTTAAAGTGGGGTTGGCGCCATGTGATGGCCAACATGGCCATGATTAACTTCTAGTGTGTTGCTAGTCTTTCTTTTTTTTAGATTTACTCTGTTAGCAACTTCCAAATATGTAATATAGTATTATTAACTATAGCCACCATTGGAGTAAAGACAGCCTCTTTAATAAATGGTGTTGGAAAAATTGGACAGCTACATGCAAAAAAATGAAACTAGACCATCAACTTGCACCATACACAAGAATAAACTCAAAATGGATAAAAGACTTAAATGCAATTTGTGAATCCATAAAAATCCTAGAAGAAAATGTAGGCAACAAAATTTCGGACATCATATGCAGCAGAATTCTCACTGATACATCACCTAAGGCAATAGAAACAAAGGGAAAAAATGAACACAAAATGAACACATGGGACTACATCAAACTCAAAAGCTCTGCACAGCAAAAGAAACAACCACCAAAATGGAAAGGCAACCCACTGTATGGGAGAACATAATTGCCACTGATATATCAGATAAGGAGTTAATTTCCAAAATATATAGAATACTCATACAACTCAACAAAAGGAAAACAAAGAACCCAATTAAAAAATGGGCAGAGGACCTAAATAGACACCTCTCCAAACAGGACATGCAAATGGCTAAGAGACATATGAAGAAATGCTCAATGTCACTAATCATCAGAGAGATGCAAATTAAAACAACAATGAGGTATCACCTCACACCTGTCAGAATGGCCGCCATCAACAAATCATCAAACAAGTGCTGGTGAGGATGTGGAGAAAAGGGGACTCTAGTACACTGCTGGTGGGAATGCAGACTGGTGCAGCCACTATGGAAAACACTATGGTGTTACCTCAAAAAATTAAAAATTGAACTTCCATTTGACCCAGTGATCCCACTTCTAGGAATATTCCCTAAGAAGCCTGAAACACCAATCAGAAAGAATATATGTACCCCCATGTTCATAGCAGCACTATTTACAATAGCTAAGATCTGGAAACAGCCCAAATGTACATCAGTAGATGAGTGGATAAAAAAGCAGTGGTACATATACACAATGGAGTACTATGCAGCTATAAGAAAGAAAGATCTCTTATCCTTTGAGACGACATGGAGGGACCTAGAGAATATTATCCTAAGCGAAACAAGCCAAGCAGAGAAAGATAAATAGCACATGATCTCACTCATTTGTGGAATATAATGAACAAAATAAGCTGATAAACAAAATAGACTCAGAGAAATGGAAGTAAGATACAGACTGACAACCCTCAGAAGAGGGGGAGGAAGGGAGGGAAAAGATAAACCACAGAACTTATATGCATGTATGCATATCCGAGGGACATGGACAACAAAGCTGGGGACGGGGTGCGGGGGATGGGGAGGAGGGTGTCAATGGGGTAAAAAGGAGAAACATCTGTAACAAAAATAAATTTAAAAAAAAAATACAAAATTATACCCACCGTGCTGTGCGGTACAGTGTTGGCAGTCTTTGGATTGGCATTCCTAGTATGAAAATAACAAAAACATCTTGCTTACTGTTCAATAAAGATCATGTTGAATTACCTTACAAGTTATAAAGCTAAAACTGCTCTTTGTCAGTGATGAGATGTGATTAAATTTAATCTCTTAATTTATTTAATAAATTAATTTAGATTTCCCAGCATAAAAGTAATCATGCTGCTTTAATTGCCACTGACTAATGAGAAAAGAACCAGACCAACCCAATACAGAAATGATGCATTCCTGG